AGAGAGAGAGAGAGAGAGAGAGAGAGAGAGAGAGAGAACATATTGTCAATGAGAATCCTTGGCAAAAACTATGGGGACTTGAAAAACATCTCAGTGGTCAATGGAAACAATGGAATTGGCAGCATTTTGGTGATGTCTTTCAAAAGGCGGAGAATGATGAAATTGAGGCGAGAAAGATGGAGAAGGACTTTGAAACTGGTTTGGTTACTGAAGGTTCTTTAATTGAAGCAAATGAAGCTCATCTTAATGCCATTTCATGTTAAGGAATTTTTCTGAAATAGAAAGCAACTATATCCAAATTTGTTAAGGGTGATAGAAATACTAAATATTATCATGCTTGCATAAATTATAGAAGGAGATACAATGCTATTCACAAGATTAAAAATTCAACTGGGTGGTGGCTGTTAAGGAAATAGCTAATGATGTAGTTCACTATTTTCAAAACCTCCTTAACCAACCAAATACAGACAGTCACTCCATCAACTCTGAAGTATTCAGCACTGACCATGATCATACCAGAAACCTAAACATTACCTATCTCCCACAGGAGGCGGAAATTTGAATGCTCTGAACTCCATTGACAACAATAGCGTTGCTGGGCCTAATGATTACACAACTGAATTCTACAAGAAAGCTGGGGGCATTTTCGAAAAGGATGTCATTCTGGTAGTTCATAGTTTTTCCAGGGAACAGGATCCCGCTAGTTACTTTTGTGCCGCAACAATGGTCCTCATTCCTAAGGAAAAATCCAATAGAAATTTGGATAGCATGTGACCTATTAGCTTGACAAATTTCATTACTGTCATCAGCAAAATCATGGTGAACAATTTTCAGCCCGACCTCACTAAACTCATTAGTGAGAACCAATCTACATTTGTGAAAGGCAGGAATATTGCTGCTAATGTTCTTTTAGACAAAGAATTACTTCAAGATTTGGATAAAATGTGTAGGGGGTTTAACGTTGTGTTTAAGTTAGACTTGAAGAAAGCATATGACACCATAAGGTGGGACTTTATTGCTGAAGTTATGAGGGTCAGAGGCTTCCCATATGACTTAGTCATGCTGATCATGAGGCGGCTTACAAATAATGCTAACTCTGCACTTATTAATGGTCAATCTCATGGCCCCTATAAAGCATTGGATTATTGAGTTGACTGGCTTCAGCACCTATTTTCTTCCCCTGAAATATTTAGGTGTGCAGCTTATTAAGGGTAGAGCTAAACAAACACAATATGAGGATATTATTGATAAGGTTAATGAACAACTAAACTGTTGGAAATCTTCTTTCCTTTCTAATGGTTGAAGGATCACCTTGCTGAAAAGTATTATCACTTCCTTTCCTTTTTACCTCATGTAAATGGCTGTCATGAAGAAGAGCACTCAATTGCTGCTAGAAAGAAGCTTTAACTGATTCTTGTGGGCTGGTTAAAGGAAGCAAGTACACTGGGTCTGCTGATAGAAAGTCTGCAAGCCTATTGCAGCAGGAGGTTTGAGCTTCAAAGGTCTTCATCGAATTCAGACAACAAGAATCTCTATGGGAAAGATTCAAAGGACTTCATCATCTGATGCTATTGTTGTGCTTTGGGCCCTTCAGCTCTCTTTGTTGGGCAGTTGGCTCTTTCTTCAAATTGAACATGATTCCCAGTTGCTTTTACAGATTCAGCAAGATGAAGTGGCCCCTCCATGGCACGTTTCTCGTTGGATCTAGAAGATAAAATCCTTGGCTATACAACTCACAGTCACTTTCTCTTTTATTCCAAGGGAAGATACCAAACCTGCAAATTGCTTAGCTAAAATGGGTAGATTGAATGAAATGTCCCCCACTAGGGGATACTATGGATATCCTCTATATTAGAACTCGTAACACTTTTGATTAATGAATCTACTACGTGTATATAGCTACTAATTGTAGGTATATACAGTTAGTTAGTTTAAGAAGGGTGGTAATTGAGAATACCACTCCTCATATGTGCTATCTGTCCTAGCAGGAATTCAACTAGGGGTAGAGGGGTCCTTCAAAGTTGCCTACCAACTTGTCACTCAAAGGCGCACACATTATATTAAAATACCAAGAGTATCATTAATATGATGTTAAAAATTTGAGTAAAATCCATGTAAATATTAAAGTTTAAAGTCATACAGGTAAATGTATAAGAAATATATTCTATATATGTAAATGCCCCTATATAAAAGTATTTTAGGCCTCTCAAAAGTGTTAATCGAAGGTTTTCTGTCCAACTAAGAAATTAGATTTAAAGCACTTTCTAATTACTAATTTCTAACTCATCTATCATTAGGGCTTAACTTTATAATATAGCATTATGGACAACTAATCTTGCTGCAAAATCTCCTGAATAATTACCATCATGAGCACAGCGATTATATTATAGAAACAGGAAAACCCATTGACATTTATACCTGCTCACATTGGAGGGAAGTCCAGTGATTAGAAGACAGTTTGCTACTAGTGTGACGACAGAGAGCTTTATAAAGCCTTTTCATGTTTCGGTTTTTTCCGGCATGCACGCCACAACGGTAAGTAGTGGATAAATTGCAGTGTTTGTTGTTCGGACTTCAAGATAATGAAGAAATTAAACTTACAAGGTTCCATGATATGTGTTTTCTTGGTTTATTCAGTTACGCTCTGGCTGATTTGAAATTAAATTATTATTACGAGAGTTGCCCAAATGCTGAAAATATTATCATCGACTATGTTAAAGAGCACATCCCTCATGCACCTACCTTAGCTGCTCCTCATCTTAGAATGCATTTCCATGACTGTTTTGTCGGAGTAAACATTGCTTTAGTGTCATTATAACTTGTTACATTTCAATGAGCAATGCCACTATGCTTTCAATTTATCGCTTCAGCACAGTTTTTTATTTTATTTTATTACTGTTCCTTTTTTCATGGAAATGTAGGCCTGTGATGGCTCGATTCTGATCAACTCCACGACTAAGAATCAGGCAGAGATTGCCCAATTGTGGTTTCTTGTGCTGACATTTTGGCCTTTTGCAAGAGATGCGGTTACAGTCATTGTAAGAAATAGATAATGCAATCTCTATGTAGAAATTTCCGTATATCATGTTGTGCTCGATAGATAACTCAGGATACGAGACGAGCATTTTTTTACTACTAGATAGTTCATTATATTTTGGAAGGCAGTTGGTTCGATTTATAAAGACAATAATAAACGAAATTTATTTTTAAGAAATTTTATTTTAAAGCTAAAATTGATTATTTAAGTTTACTGATTGTCTTGTAGACTCAAGAGATATTTCTAGCATCCATTTTTATTTTTTTAAAAGGAATACCCTAAGCCAAGTTTTCGTCATACTTATAGTTCATACTTTTCATTTGCTAATTTAGTGGCATTTGCTAATTTAGTCTAACCACCATTAACAGGGTGGTCCTTATTGGAATGTCCCCACAGGACGACGAGACAGACTGATATCCAATGTCACTTAGGCCTTGAACAACATTCCAGCGCCAAATTTTAATTTTAGCGCTCTTCACAAATCCTTTGCAAGCTAAGGACTGGACGTGCATGTCCTGGCTTTGTTATCTGGTAACCTTCACGCACTTGGCTTATTTAAAAATTTGTCTTTGCTTGCAGATAGCAAGTTTAGCCAATGTAAACTCTGTTAGGCTCACATGCTGTTGGAGTTGCCCACTGTCCGTTTTTCAGCAATCCCCTGTATAACTTCACTGGAAAAAGTGACCAAGATCCGGCTTTCGACGATTTCTATGCAGCAAATCTTAAGAAGTATAAATGCAAGGCACCTAATCATAACACAACGATAGTTGAAATGGATCTGGGCAGCTATAGAATTTTTGATCTTGGATACTATACGCTTCTGCGGAAAAGAAATGGCCTCTTCCAATCGGACTCAGCTCTCACTAATACTGCAGCCACGAAAGCTCAGATTGTTCAGCTTATTATGGTCCCGAACAAGTTTTTTTCAATAAGTTTGCTCGTTCCATGGAAAGGATGGGAAAGATTGAGGTGAAGTCTAGGAAAGAAGGGGAGATCAGGAAGCACTGAGCTGCACTGACTTGTTATTAATTGCTAGCTTTTGAACTGAACCGCCATAATCTGTTCTTTTCTTCTATTATCTTAGATTAACAACTTGTACTGCTCGCTGTTATTGTAATTTTGGACTTACATAGAAGCTTATATACATTAAAAAAAGTGTTCTTTAGTTTACAATTCTTGTTATTGTACTCTCTGTCTCTCTCTAGCATGCACGCACACACACGCGCATAGAAATATATATATATATATATATATATATATAGCAATATTAAGTAAGTTTGAAAGCCGTCTCATATTCTTTGAACAAAAATCAAACTTGTGAGTTCTTCATATTGCCACGACTATTAATTATTCACTTTTCTACAATTACGCCTGACTTCCCCTTCTTTCCCATTCAGCACATTTACGTTTCCCAATTTTATCATAGACTTCGAAAACTGCCTCCTAAATAAATTTGGTCGCTCCACATATTGTGCTACAATTCTATTTGTAACATCGGTGAATGCCAATTGCTGGTCCAAGTGGAGAATAGCCTTCGCATTGCGCACGTTAATGAAGAATGATTGATCGAGCTTGAAAGGAGTGGATGTATCCTCGTTCATGAAAACATCTGGATCTGCGCTGATATTTTGGAATATTGCAACTGAAGCAGGACATTTCTTCCTTAGCCTTTCACGCATGCGGCTGTCCATCGCCGGGTCAGGTTGGTAGGTACCTTCAAAGCTGTACAGCCGGTCAGTGAAGAAACCACAATGGCAGAAGCCAATGCTATGAGCACCTGCAAGTCGATGAAAGAGTTAATTTTGATGTTATTAAGCACATGTATAATTTCGAGAACGAATGAGTTCGTCAGCATGTTCTTGATGTTAAGGTAATTATTCATTCAGTCTGTTGGTGTTATTTGATTTTTCTTTACTTCGTGCATAGGCAGAATTAAAAAGGCTGTAATTTGAGAATGCATAATTCTCATGCATAAGCAGCAGGAATTGATGGCACGTTACGCAGCAGGAATTGATGGCACGTTTGAGGAACAAAAAAGATTAGCTGCATCCTCAACTTTCATTGGAACAGAAAAATACTAGTACAGACACAAATCGCTGATTCAAAATTCATAAAAGGGTCTAATGATTTTTAAAAGTGAAAAAACGTTGACTCTCATCATTTGAGCAAAATTCTCTTCTCATGCGGTCTCCGACTAAGAAAGCAGATTTTGTTGTGTGCTGAAGAACTAGTGGCGGAAAACGCTCATCCCTGTTAGAGATGTTAAGAAAAGTTAAGAAGATATGAATTACTATCCACCCCAATTATGGTACTTAAAAGGTATTAAGGTGACCAAATTATCTTTTAGCAGTGATGAACTGCCATTTTAATTTTTCTTCTGATAAGAGGAGAGATCCGGTGACTAATAAAATAGATATTACTTATTGGCAGTTGATGGACGTGAATCATTGGCAATTTTTCGACAACAGCTAAAATTTAGATGATAATTTTTAGGGACTCGATCACTTTCTATGATATGAATATGTCGGGAAAAATAATACAAAAATAAAATCACAGAACAAACAAACAATCAAACACGATGTGAATTATGTGATTTGGTGCAAATCTGCCAACATCAATCGGGAGATGTTATTCCACTACACTTGGGGAGAGAAAAATATGTCCGAAGTAGGGCTATAACTCAACACAAAAAATTTAGCCCTAATCCCTTCTATAGATACGAGGGAATTAGTGCATTTAAACTTTAAATATTTCTAATATAAATGATCATGAATTAGATCTCTTCCAATTTAGTTTACCTAATATCTATCTTCCTAATATACATATTTTCTAATATACAACCATTAGATTTAACACTTACTATAATAATTTCTACCTCGTCTCCCACTTATAGATAAGTGAGAGTTGAGCAAAATAAGATTCAATATGGAAATGAAAACATCAAGATGGTTGGATACATACCTCCCACCCGAATGAGATCAAGCCACACATTTTTCTTCAATATGCTCAAATGGGAAATCAATCCTGAGCTCGAATGTTGACCAAATATCTACAGTATGTGATCTTCTAGGCTTGTACTTCCTTTATGAGCATATTCACTAGATTCTTCTTTATATCAATCTTCTTTACTAGAATATTGTCTACGTTAATCAAGTCCCAAACAATGTGATTTCTCACATCAATCTGCTTGAAATAGTCACGATGAACTGAATTATGATGAAGAATTTCACACTAACTAACACAAAATATCGTTAGAGACATCTGATCAACTCTCAAGCCATCTAGTGAGCTTTATATCCATCCCTCTATATCCAGTTTGCTTTCTTCATCACCTTCGTGACTGTACATACTCAGCCTCCATATCAAATAAAGCAACACTAGGATGAAGAATAGACCTCCAACTGACTTGACCTCATGTCAATATAAATAAATAGTCAGTCCTAGACCTGCAACTATCCATATCACCTGTATAGTTTGAATTTGTAGCCTACACAAAAATTAAGAATAAATGGTTGTCTTTCAAACACCAAGCCAATATTAACTTTACCCTTCAAATACCTTAGGACAACTTTCATAGACTGTCAATGAATCTTTTACGAATCATACATGAGGATGCTCACAACATCAACCACTTTTGCAATATCAGGTCTAATACAAACCATAATATACATTAGATTGCCCACTATAGTAGCATAAGAAATCAATCATATAACTTTCCTTTTCATCATTTTTAGGGCACTAATATGAATTCAATTGAAAGTGAGATATAATTGGTAGACTCATCATCTTGCTTGAGTCTCTAATCCAAAACTTTTTCAGTATCTGCATGACATTTACACCTTGTGAGAGCCAAATAATTTTAAGTTTTTTGTCTATGAGAGTCTCCTTACCAAAAAATCTGCGAGCTTTATGCAAGTTGTCGGCACTATTTTTGGTGTGGGTTTGCCCGTAAGAAGTTGTCGGTCATCGGAATTGAAATCCCGTTGCCCGCTTCGGAAGGACGTTTAAAAAAATTTAGTTTTGAAAAAGATGAAGTCAAACTGACCCCATAATTTTCATAGTTTAGATGAAAGAGCACTTTATCTCAAATCATGTATCTATCCCGAAGGATGAACGCAAGAATTGAGAGTGAGGCTCGATCAAATAAACTAAAGAAAATTATGACATCCGTTTGGTCTGCGAAACCAATGTATTGGCCGACAAGTTCCCCTATTTAATATAAGGAATTAAATAAGGTTTATATT